CCGTCGAGCCACATTATTATAAGTGATCAGCCTGGGACTCAATTTCCAGTTTCCTCACCCACATTCGTTTTAAGGTTTTTTGTGTAAGGTCTCTTTAACACACGCACTTTATCTGAGGTTATTTTCTCAGTGGTATTCCCACGGGTCAGGTTGAGCTATGTTCTTATTGTTTAACGGTCGAGTTATGTGGCGGACTTTTAATCTTATTTTCTCCTATTATATACAGTTATTTTTCTTCCCCCGCCCAGCACTCCCATTCTTGTGTGTTTTCTTTTGTCTTCTTCACCCCACTCTTGCTAAATTCGATCGGTGCTCGTTTACCGGATTCGTACTCATAAGGGTTCTCGCCTCCACACGCAGCATTCATACATCATCCACTCCTCGGCGTGAGTTCTCAAAACGCCTCAACAGGGCCTGTGTAACATAAAATCTAAACTAATTACATAGTTACAAGAATAAATGTAGAATTTAAAGCATAATTATAATAATAACTATATATATAATATATATAATATATATAATAACTTCTTTGCTTCGTGCAATGATGATTGTCATCTTCTGATTTATTCAGCTAGTAATTATCCTAGCAATTGACACGGCGAGGCAATCCCACCATTTATTGAGTAATTGTTGAGATATGCAGCCAACATTGCTAGGATGAGTTTACTCGTGTTGAACATATGATGTTGTTGCCAAATATCTGAGCCCATTTGTCTCATCTTTGATCAATTTTGTCACATATGTTATTAAATTTTAAAATGTCACATGATTTTAAGGTAAGCATTTTTTCTTTCCTATTAGCCTTATATTTCATTACTAAAAATGTCATGTTTGATGCTTTATGACCAGCCTGAGCACCTTTTATTGCCTCTTGGCCTCATATTTCATAATGTTATTCATGTTGGTCCTTCTTTGCATATACTTGGATAATTTCAGATGCATATATCCATTTGCCCATGAGGTTATATAGCTCGAGGCTTCTTTATATAAAGTCAATGTTTTATATTTGTTAACACCTTCTAGCCTTCAAATTGATAGTACCTTGCTAGTTTCTTTAATTACAGAGATGTATATAAATATCATTACTATATATGATTCTTGATGAACTGCCTGAGCACCTTTTCTTGCCTCTTAGCCTTATATTTCATTACTATAAATGTTAGTTCTTCTTTTGCATAGACCTGGATACTTTCAGATGCTTATATGCATTTTCCCATGAGGTTTTATAGCTCGAGACTTCTTCATTTACAGTTGGGGTTTTATAAGCAGCACTCTGCATACTTTCAAATAACTTCTCATAAAGGAAGAGTTATTGATAAGCAATGAGGTTTCCTCAAATTAATAGTTGCCAGCCAATGATGATTGTCAGCTTCCTCATATATTCAGCTAGTAATTATCCTACCAATTGACATGGCGAGGCAGTCCCACTATTTATTGAGCAAGGTGAGTAATTGTTGAGATATGCAGTCAACATTGTGTAGAATCATTTACTGGTGCTGAATATATGATGTTGTTTACACATATCAGAGCCCATTTGTTTCATCCTTTTATCAATTTCATCACTTATGTAATTAAATTCAGAAATACCACATGATTTTCTTCTTCAACAAAGATTGAAGAATTATATTTTTAAAATACAAATTATAATTTTTATAACAACAAGAAAAATACTGAATATCCCTAAGACAGCAAGACATTTTTTGAAGTAATTGATTTGACGATTTGCGAGCATCAATTTTCTCCTCAAATGCTTTGTTTGCATATCTTTTACATCTGGAACTACTTGAAGAGAAGCTTCATCTTTTTTTGTTTTTCCCTTTTTGATATCATGATCATCTTCAGCCCAGGCAAAAAATTTGCATTGCCTATTTGGGTATTTGGAACAGCCCCAAAAGTATCTTCCCTTATTCATTCTATTTTTACAGAGCTTTAATGGTGTTGGTAATTTACAAAAGCAAGTTACCACAGTTGCTTGAGATTGAGACCCTTGGGATGGAGGCATAGCTCAGTTATGCTTGAAAAATGGACCCTTCGGATGAAAGCTATGCTCAGATAATTGAAACCTTTACAAAACTGAGTTGAAGATAGCTACTCATCTCATAATGCTTATATATGCAACAAGTTACTTTTGGATGCCAGGTTTTTTTTACCGTTGCCCAAACATAACCATTGGGAGAAATGGGTTCATTTTTAAGTTGGTATAAGTTTGTAGTAATAATTGTGAGTGGTAATCTCACCTTGGTGATCGTAAACAACATTTCTCATTTTTTTAATTGCCTATCAAACATAGGAAGTTGAAGAAATGAAGAATGCTCATTTGTTTTCTTGATTTTTGGATGTTAAAACAAACCCAAGAAATGAAAAATAATATTTTTTAGCCTATGATTTCATGGTGAAACAAACCACATAAATTAGATATGAGAAACCCTTTGAAATATTCTGAAATGGTTTTCATCATGGTTTTGTGTGTTTTTTTATGGAAATGTACCAAACAGGCCCTTAGGCTAAATGACACTTATATACCCTATTATTTCATTTACTTTTAACTTATATACTTCCATTTATATTTGATATTAATAAAATATCCTAAAGCTTTTTAAACTTGCATTTATATATCCTCACTTGTTTTGGTAGAACTTATTGTTGATGTCCAAGCTCTCAATAGCGAGATTAGAGGGTAATCCCAGATGATGGTAGGGGTTTAGGGTCGATATCAAAGGAGTAAGGGTCCCTTCATCCCTTTTGGTTGCCGAATCCCTAGTGGGATGAGAATTTTGCAAAACTACAACATGTTAGATGACCGGAGTTGGGTTCTCCAGTGATCTCTCTAACGATCAAGTTAGTATTTAGCTTGAGTGGAGAAGGAGATCAATGAATTAAATAAGTTCTAAGTGTACAAAAATTGCATTACACAGCAAGAGATTGCTCTCTTTAACCAGAGATGGTCTACCTTGGCTAGGAGGCGGTGAGCATATATATACCCAGCTTAGAGGGGTGAATATGTAACTTTGGTCGAGTTCAGGCAAATAGCTGAAATGGCAGATGCTTTACAGGTGTCAGCTGCAAATGAGATGAGACATCTATGACCTTGATGTAATGACGACTAAGGGGCGAGGTGCTGATGGAGGGCAATGAGTCATGGAGACTCGTGGCAGGAGCAATGATGATGCTGACCAGCTGTTAGTGAGAGGTTCGAGGACAAACTACCTCTTAACTCGACTCTACAAGTAGGCTGACAAATACTACGTTTTAGTCGGTCTTGAAAGTTGTTGACTCGGCCTGGCTGATTAAAGATGAGTTAGGCAAGACCCGAGTGATAAGATCGAATGAGAATGCTTCTTGACTCGGGCCTCCTTGGGAAGGGACGAGTGTCCATGCTATTTGAGTCGCCGTGACTGGGGGTGAAGTCGATCTAATAATTATTTGGCATAAGACACGTGTTGACTTCATATGGGGGATTAGCACTTAGTTTACATGATGACATAGCATTGGCCCCTTTCACTTGAACTCAGGTGGCTGAGTCCGAGTGAAATTGAATTGACACTGGTCGAGTCCGGAGGCATATTTATGATGGGTTGCTAAAGAGTTTCTTCTGATGTGATGCTACTCATGTTAATGAAGCTTATGCGTCAACACCTTGGTTCTTGAGTGGATATTGCGGGCCAATTATGGTGAATAGCGATTTGGTCCTGGAGCAATCACCTCGACTTTTGGGAACGATCTTGGTCGTTTGTTTATAACTAGGTAGGTTGTTGTGATTCTGCCACCTGTCGGCCACTTTGCCTATAAGTACGGCTATTTTGAGATAGGAAGAGTTGCTGCTTTGAATAATTCTCAAATTCTCTTCTCTCTTGAATGATTTTCGGCCATCCTCTTTC